CAACCTCATGAGTGAGTTCGGGTTAGTGGTCTCCACACCTGCTCCTCCTGCAGCTGCGGAGGATTGCTGGTTGTGGGCCCCACACCAGCTACGGACGTGGTCCCCACTCCGGCAGCTCCGTAGCGGTGTTCTCTCTTTTCACGTGGCCACTGTGCCATGTGCGCTGCGACTTTTGTCGCGATGCTGGCAGCTTAGCTGCTGAAGGGGACCTGAAACCANNGCATGCAGACTGCCTACGGGCTGCGCTACCATAGCGCGTGACGAGAAAAATCCTAACCTGGCTCAAGCACTCTGGTTCAAGCCAGTAGAGAGTTGCAGTCTTTCAAAGGCCCCTGGGTTCAGGTCCTAACTGTGTGTGAAAGAGCACCCAAACAGGACAATCCCAGCTTTAGCTTAGCTCTGGCCATAGCTGCAACCAACCTGCAAAGGCTTGGTGTCAAACTTTTACTGGTCTTACCAGTGTACTGGTTTATCCAGTGGGCTAGGTGTTACCAGTCCAAGTTTGTGCCTTGCTTTACCAGGGCGTTGTCCTCAGCCCCTGGTGTGAACAATGGGGAAGCACCCATATAGTGTCTGCCAGCACTGCAACGTGGGTTGGGTTTGGAAGACGGAGAAGCGCTGGTACCCGTGCTGCTGGAACTGTGGAGCAGACTGGCCAGGGCCCACCCCTCCCAACCCTGCTAGGAGTGCAAGGCAGGTTTACAACACGCAGGAAGACTGGCAAAGATGGGAAGAGCAAGCATGGGAACAGACCGCGCGCAAGCCCAAGAAGCAGCCTGCTTGGCCACCGGGCTTAGGCTGGGGCAGAGCCCAGCTTACACCTGGAGAGTACGAAGAAGCTGTGGCCAGCCTGTGGAAGGACGCAGACCCACAGGCCCAACAAGTCCTTCGTGCTTGTGGCATCGAGCCACCGGATGAGGAAGAGCCTGACCCGAGGACAGTGCTTCATCGCTATCTGGCGAGGACAGTGCTTCATCGCTATCTGGCTCGGTATAAGTCAATCACCCAACAGCACCGCAGCTTGGTTGCTAAAAAAGCCCAACTGCAGCTCCGAGCAGATAAGATTAAAGCACAATTCGAGAAGGCTGTTCAAGACTTGGCGGATGTCTCAAAGGAAATTGAGCAAGCGGAGGGCCACCTGGTGAAGGTTCAAACCCAGGTTCAGGCCCAGCTCAAGGAGGCGGAGCCACCAAAGGTGCAGGACTTGCAGGGGCTTCTGAAGAATGCTGGTGTTAGTCTGACTGATGACCAGCATGTGGCGTTGTCGGCCTACATCCAGACGATGACACAGCCCAAGATCGATGAGGAAATGCTGGACCTTGGAGAAGGATGGATGAGGGAGTCTTTTCCGCCTGACATGTTCAACATGAACAGGGCTGAGAGTGGACAAGACACCAATCCCAGCTTCGGACCCAGCAGAACGACGAGGGCTGGCCAGCGCAGCCCCCTTGTCTAGGGGCGAACAAGAAGACTCCTGAGATGCTGGGTGGGGGCCTAAACATGATGTTGCTTATTCCTGGTGTAGCATGCGTGGTTATGGCCCTTCACACCCTGGTGTCAACACAGGAAACAGTTTTGGAAAACGTAGGTGCAGTCTGCGAGGAATCCTGGTGCAAATCCAGGGTGTGGATTATAGCAGATCAGAACAGCGCAATTTTGGAAACCAGAAGTGCCGATTGCTCCCGTCTTTTAAGCAGGAGCAAGCAGTTTTGAAGTATGAGCAGCCCAATCTTGGGGAAGGCCAAAAGCATCAGGTTTGTGACTTATGTAAAGTTGAGCCTGGTAACAAGGTGAAGATCTCTCAAGAGTGGCAAACTGCCCTTTGGGTGGCAGAAAAGCAGGTGGTTACCAGGATCCAACCCCTGGTGCAGTCACCAATTTTGACCAAGTATGCTTGTGCAGCTTACAGCCTAAGGCAGAAACCGTGGGGCTGGTGTTGCAAAGCATGTAAAAATTGGGTTTTTAAACAGGATCAGTGCAGTGAGCTACAAAATGGGTTTTCAGGTGTTGCCCAGGTCTGGCCGCAACTGAGTGAGGCTGCGCTCACAGGCCCTCGCTACTTCCCTGTGGATTTTGAGCCCTGGGAGGCCGAGGAGCCTGGGGTGATCCAGGCCGGAAACTGGGCTAATGCTGAGGAGACGGTGTGCCAGGCCTCGGCATCTTGTCCTGGTGTTGCGTCCAGTGCCGGGGCTGTCAGTGCCCCTACGCAGCCCAGGAATACCTGGTGCCAGGGACAGGGCGCAACTTGGCAGGCCCCTGGGTCAACCAGCTGGGCAATCTCCAGCACCAAAGGCAGCAGGTCTAACAAAAAGCCTGTAGCCCCCAAGAAGGAGGTGATCCTACCTGAGAATCCTGAATCCAAGGCCCCAACCAGGAAAGACGGTGCAGCAGCCTCAATACTGCATGAAGGCTAAAGAAGCTGCGCTTTGTGTCGTGGATTGAAAGGTTTGAAAGTTTTTTGGTGCCGGGATCTCTGGGGTATTGGGTTGCAAATAGGATTCCTGAATGCCTGGCTGTGGATGAAGAAGACACCATAGGCATTTTAGCCGGCATTGAAGACATCAAAATGCAAGGAGAGGCCAAACCCAAGGATGACTGTTGCCACATCCTGCAAGCCAATATCACCAGTTACAGATCTGAGATCAGACAATGGCTGGTGAGCAACCAGTGGCATTGTGCGTGCCTTCAAGAAACCCACCAGGTCGAGTCGGCTACTGATGCCATGACATCTTCCTTGAAGGCGGTTGCTTTAGAGCCTTGGGTCCTCCCTGCTGAACAAACCCCAGGCGGGTCTACTGGAGGCCTGGTCAGCATGTCCCGTTCCAGTTACCAGACACGTTTCCTCCATAAGTACGGTGAACTTGGCAAAGGCTTTGTTTTCTCGGGTATTCGTTTTCATGGCTGGGAGTTGGCGATTGGAAATCTATACCTGGAATCTGGAGTCGGACCAGGTGGTGGGGTAAACCCAAGCCTCCTGGCTGCCCTTGCTTTGTTCATACAGGAACTGCGAATCCCATGGATTGTAGTGGGAGACTGGAATTGCACGCATGATGAGCTGGCTTCTTCGGGGTTTCTACAGTCGGTGCATGGGAGGTTGCTGGCACGCTTGGAAGCCACCACTTCGCAAGGTTCCTCGATTGACTTTGGGGTGGTTTGTGCTAAGCTGGCAGGCTGTGTGAGCGTTGTCACTGAGTGGAATGTGCCTTTCAAGCCACATGCAGCTCTACGTTTCACAGTCCACAAGACTGGAGCCAGTCTGCCAGTCCCGCAACCCCCGAAGTTTGTTGAAGCCCCTGGTGAGAACCGGGGAGAGAGTTGTGTGCAAGACATCAGTGAAGTTGTGGCCATGTTTGAGCCCCCTAGCCAGTGTGAGCAGGATGTACAATGGGGGCGGGTCATGGCGAGACTCGAGGCAGACCTCCAAATGAATGGTAAAGGCAGAGGCTGGTGTTTTCCAGTCAAGCGTGAACCGTTGGTGGAACCAACAGCGCCTGACAAAGTGTGGCAAGGAGGTAAAGTTGCTTTTTGGGAAAGGATCCAGTTATGGATACAACAGAGACAAGAAAGGCCCCTCAAGCCTTCACAGGTAAGATTGTTCATTCGGCAGTTGCAGCATGTTCGGCATATGTTGGAACCGGAAGAACAGTTCAAGGCTGAATTCCTGCGCACGGAGCTTGAGAATTTTGTCATTGGGCACCCAACCAACCTGACATTGGTGCAAACTGTCATCACCAATGCCAAGGAGGCTGCCCGAGAATGGCGAAATGGCCAACAGGAAGGCTACCAATCCTGGCTGCAAGGTGCTGTGGAAGGTGGCATGCGGGGCCTGTACAAGTCCCTCAAGAAGCCTGAAAATATTCAGGCGAGGCCGTACCGTGAAGCTAGCAGTGAACTTCGGCCTCACCTTCGGAGACAGGAGTGGAAGCAAGTTTGGAAACCGCAGGCTGACAACAGCCCGGAGGACCACCACTTGTTTGAAGAACTCAGGCATAAAGCTGCCGAAGAACTCCGACAGGTGGGGCCACTCACAAACAGACAAGTTGAGGAAGCTTTACGTAAAATGGCCAAAAAGGCATGTGGCCCGGATGGGCTCACTAGCCCAATGCTCAAAGCTTTAGAACCGGACCAGGTTGCCCTGGTGGCTGACGCTTTCCGTACTTGGGAAGCCACTGGTGTCATGCCAGAGGCTGCCACAATGTCGCTGGTGGCGCTTCTCCCGAAAAAAGAGTCTGAAGAAAGACCGATAGCATTGACATCATATGCTTACAGGGCCTGGTGCAAATCCAGGTACCCGCTGCATGATGAGTGGGCCAGACAATACCAGTTGTCTGCGCCGTGGGACAGGGCCGTTAAAAACCACTCCTCTTTGGAGGTAGCAGTCACTAGGGTGATGAAAGGCGAGATGCATAGACAAAACCAGAAATCTGGTGTCACCCTTCTCCTCGACTTGAGGGGTTTTTACGAAAATGTGTCCCACAAAGACTTGATTGCCAGTGCTTTCAAGCATCACTATCCTGCCTTGTTACTACATGGGGCTATGCAGTTGTACCGTGGCAAAAGGCACTTATGTGCGGAAAACATGGTTAGCGCACCCCTGGTGGCAACCCAGGGTATCCTGGCGGGGTGCCCGTTAGCCCCAGGGCTGAGTAAACTGGTCATGCATGAGGTTGTCGAGCCCATCTGGCAAGGACCTCCACAGTGTCATGTTGATCTCTACATCGATGACACGGGGTTTGACTTGGTGCACAGCGACCCCAAGCAGTGTGCAAAAATGGCCTATCATGTATGGCAGGAGGCACGCAAAAGACTCCAAGATGCCAAGCTCCCTTTGAGTATTGGCAAAACAGCGTGGATCTGCAGTAACAAAAAAGTAGAAAAGGCTTTGACCAAACTGCTACAGGATGGTGACCCAACCATTCGAGATATCCACAGGGACTTGGGCATCGACTCAGGTTGGGGCAAGCGTCGCAGGATAACAAACCACCGGCTCCGGCTGAAAAAAGGTGGGGCCAGAAAGAAGCGCCTGGATATCTTGGCTCCCGACAGAGGGCCTAAGATTAGGGCCTTCAAGCAAGGAGTCCTGAGTGTGGCTCTCTACGGCCATGTTGCCCTTGGCCTCGCTCCAAAAAGGCTCAAGTGGATTAGGCATCAACAAGCGCAAGTCCTTGGAAGGATGAGCCTGGGTTCCACGGAATATGTCTTGGAGCAAGCCAATGCCAAACACGAAGATCCTGCATTCGTTATCATCAACCAGCATTTCCGGTTCTTTCACCAACTGCTGGTGAAGTGGAACCAGGGTCAATTGGAGGAGATTGAGGTTTGAATTGTGGTAGGCCCGATAGGTGCTGCAATTTGTTACCTGAAAGCCTTGGGATGGACGGCGGCCTCTCTCACTGTGTGGCGAGCTGGTGAAGAAGAATTTCACATTTTGGATAGGGCCAGCCTGCACAAGCTTAGTTTTAACTTGCGGCAGGCTTGTAACAAGTGGAGATGGAAGGCCCTGTCACAAAGTGAAGCTGGAAGTTCGTTAGAGACAGGGGTCCAATGGCAGGCCCCTGGGAAAGCTCGCAAGAAGCTCAAGGGCCTCAGAAACAAAGCTCTGGTGGGCAGTCTGGCAAGGGGCTATCAGACATGGCTCTGGGGCCTGGTGTGCCAGATGTGACCAGGAGGCTTCTTTGCAGCATGTTCTGTGGGATTGCAGCTGGTGGCGAGACAACCAGCAAGAACCCACTGACTTCCCGAGACTACGCAAGGAATATCCAGACTCGAGCCTGTGGTTAAGAGGGCTACCTGCCAATCAGCCCCGACCTCCGGGCTATACACAGGCCCTGCAGGAGTCAGGTGTCTTCCAGCAACCGCACCTCGAGGCAGAAGGCTTGCATTTTGCCACGGATGGCAGCCCTGGGGGATCCCAGGACTCAAGGTTCCAGGTAATGACCTGGGGTGTGATTGCCTTCAAAATCCTGGGGGACGAGATCCAGGTCGTGGGAAGTGCCAGCGGGCCAGTGGAGTGTGAGCAAACTGTGTTCCGCGCGGAAGCCCAAGCGCTTGTGTACCTGGTAGGCAAAGTCCAGGGGCACATTGAGGTCACCATGGATGCCAAAAGTGTCACAAAGGCAGTGCAGCGCAGACCAGGCTGGAAATCTGAGGACCTGCTCCAACCCTTAAGGGAAGCAAAAGAGAGACTTCACCTTACATGGGTAAACAGTCATTCTCACCCAACAAGACTTTGCCTGCAAGTTTGGCGAAGCCACGTTATGGAGGTGGAGATCAAACCAACTGGTGGACCAGTTGGTGCAGGCTAGGGCCAATGGGTGTAGAAATATGGATTGGGAGCAAAAGATCCTCATTCGGGATGAGGTCGTGATTAGGGTCAACAACTTGCTGGCCCGTCGCGCAGAAGAGTTACTGCAAGCTGACTCTTCGCAGGGCCCTCAGATCACTTTTCCCGGCCGTCTCTCGAAAGAAGAAGCAAAGCCTTTACAGCAGGCAAAAAAGGGCCCAAAACAAGCCAAGATCATTAAGTTCAGAAGCAACGCCAGACCCAAAAACCAGGTTTCTGGTCCTGGTGACAACAAGCCCAACAAAAGGAGGCAAATGGAGGCCATGTTGGCTGGAACAAGCCCCAACCTTGGGCACACATGGGTGGTTGGTCACAAGTCCCGGGACCAGCTAACCATCAAGTGCAGCACGTGTGGCCTCTATGTGGAACAGACGGAGCCTGTGAAGGTGTTTGACAGGAAAGCAAACCATCACTGTTTGTTCCAAGGCCCTCCTTTTCCTCTGCCGGCTCATGGATCACACAGGATCGTGAACGGAGGAAGGGCCTGGCTGTGCACAAAGTGTGGCCTCAAGCAGTGGGTGAACCAGGACAACTTATCTGGTGCTCTTAGCAAGGAGTGCCGTCAACGGTACCAAGGCAAAGATCCTTGGGTGAAAGGGATTATTCAAAAGGAAGCGCCAAAAACGTCTTTCTTCCAGCCTCGTGTTGCTTCCTCTGTTTTCCCTCAACCCCAGGCTCAAGCTCAAGCACACTCGAAGAGTTCTGGTGTGGGTACCAGCCTTGAGGCCAATAAGAAAGGTTCCACTGCTGTTGTGTCTGAGGCCCCCAGCCCAAATGCCCCTGCTCCCTTCCTTTTTCCTAGGGCCGCTGCTTCTAGTAGTTTTCCACAGGCGCTGGTTGTTACCCAGTCTGGTCCCCCGGTGCCCAAATCCAAGCCCAAAGCCAAAGCTAAAACCTCCAGTGCAGGTGCCAAGCAAGCTACACTTCGTTTTCCTGCAGCCTCGGCTCACCAGCAGTAGCCATGGAGGTAGAAGGTGCATCGGCAAATGCTGGGGATGCTCCAGCTCCAGAGAACAACCCTGGTGCGAATCCAGGGCCTAGCAGACCAGAAGAGAACAATCCTGGTGACAATCCAGGATCTGCCAGGCCTGAAGAACCAGGCTCTTCTTCTGCAGGCCCACAAGAAGGCAAAGGCCAAAGAACTCCCAGGCCCAAAGCAAAAACTCCGTTGACGGAGTACAAAAAGTACTACAACCGCAACAGGCCAGGAAAGCGAGAGCGTGCAGCAGGAGAAACCTCTCGCAACCTCCCAGTACCACCAGAGGTTTGGGCTGAGAAAGGAAAAGGTGGTAAAAAAGGGACTGGTGTAAATCCAGTCATGGGACAGGGCAAAGGTGCCAAAGGTCGCAGCAAGAGTGCGGACAAAGGCAAAAGCAAAGGCCCTCAGCAAGCCAGGAGTGCGTCGGTAGGTGCCAAAGGCAGTGGCTCAGGCTCACAGCCAGAGCAGTCCAAAGGTGCCAAAGGTAGTGGCTCTGGCACGCAACCAGAGCAGTCCAAAGGTAGCCCTGGTGTATCCAGGGTGCGCACCCCGCCGCCCCCACCACAGAGGAAGCGAGAACCCTCTGAGGTGCCCTCTGGCAGACCTCAGTCCAAAGCCAGACCGGAAATCCTGGGACCTCCTGAACCTCCAGCCATGGAGGTGGCTGACACCAGCAGCCCGACTAGTGAAGCTACCCCGGGGGAACCAAGCCAACCAAGTCGGCCCCCACCAGTTTCTCCGGAAGAAGAGGGCACTGAGCCCCCCTCGCAGCTGGTGGAGGACCAGTCAGCAGCACCCTCAAGTGAGCGTAGTCCTGGTGCCAACCCAGGCAAACTACTGCCAGTCAAAGAAGAGGTGCCACTGCCTTGTCCACAACCAATGGGCAGCATAGACTGGAGGTTTCCTGTCCGCCTCACTGCCACGCTTCGCAACACGCGTCAGAAAAGTGAGGAAGCTCGCTACCCAAACCAGGTGATGTTGTCCTACACAACCCAGGAAGGGCAAAGCCTGGTTGTAGACACACCCGTCCTAGGGTGTGGAAAGGGCAGCAGCCCGCGCGGCACTATCGTGGCGCCGGGTGACGGACGGCTGATCCTTAAGCTTGGAACAGCCACGACACACCACCACGAAGCGCGCTTTAACGAAGGCGGGTACGTCCCGCGAGTGCGCAAAGTGGTTGGACCTCTTGAAGCCACGCTTAAATGGGAGGTGGGAGGTGAAACTGGGTTCTCCAGTAAAATCTACGAAGTTCTCTCGATGGAGAGACTGGAACCCTTCCAGGAAACCCCAGAGAATATCTGGCAGGCCTTTCTGGGCACAGTCGCTATGTGCCGCTACGCCGAGATCCGCGATTTGGGTCCGGATAATCTCGGCTTGAGGCCTGTGCAGGGCAGGGACGTGAGTCAGTGTGTCTTCACTGACTCGGGGTCGTGGGAGATCCCCACCCTGTTCTGTTTTCCCGCTGGGTGGAAGGCCACCCAGTTTTGGAAGGCCTTCCAGCGCACCCTCCCCGAACACCTCGAACCAGCGAAACAGCTGGTGTTGGCTCACGGGCGCTCGTTAGGCATCCTCATGGAAGAAGGCATCGTTCAGATGCATGGCTGCCTGCCGGCAGACAGGTATCAACAGGTGCTTTTCAACCTTGTTGAGCAAGGAGCCTTGACACTCAGTCCCTTAGGACGCACAGGGTTCGCGATGCCAGAAGAGCGTCTCTCTGAACGCACCACCCCGACCAGCTGGAAACTTATAGACCTTAAGATTCCAGCCATGGCAAACTGGTGGTCCACAGAGGTCCCCTAAACCAGTCGAGCTGGTGGATACCAGTAACTGGTGTACCCAGTTTGTAGCTGTAGTTACCAGTTCTACTGGTGTAGGTCAGACGCGGCCAGCAAAGACTGGTAGCTGGAGACCAGCTCTGAGGCCACCTTTTTCTGACCAAAAGGTCCACCTAGACTAGCTCGACTGGAAACCAGCCAGACTGGTGGCAGACTACCTGAAGGTGAGGAAAGCCTCACCTGTAGCTAACTGCAAGTTTCACCCGACCAGAGCGAAGCTCAGCGACACGTTCGCCCCCAACGAGGAAAAATCCTAACCGATTGGAGTT